GAGACTAATTTTGGAATGCACGAATATGAAAGTATTTGCGAAAGTATACAAGAGGCGGCAGATTGCATTGCAAATGCATAAATTTCTCTTATGGACAGAAACAACCAAGAACGGTTACAAAATACCTTTTATCTTTAAAATAATACAAAAATGTTACAACTTGAACAAAACCTCGATAAGTTTCAGATGATTAATGTTTCGTGATAAATTACCGTCCTCTGGGTACACTTTATCTGCAGATGATTAATTTGTAATATTGTTGTTCAATTTGGTACTTTTACTATCATTATTGAAAAATTCGCCTTCAGACACTTCTATTCGTTTCATGGCGTACCTTCGAAGTGAACGGTTCAAATTCAGAGAATATTTTTTTTTATTGACGAACTCTTTTGTGCCATTGGCCCATTGGCCACAATCTCACGTTTAATGTCCTGTAAAATGCCTTTTCTGGAATGAATAGTAGTTAATAGGCTCTAAAAACACAGATAAACATGCAGCATTCCATACGCATCAGGAAGGATGAATCAAAACGCTTCGTGCGAAGTGATGGCAATTGTTCTCAAGGGACTACCTTCCTCCGGAGGGAACTATATTATTTTATACTTCATAGCATTATGCCTCAGAGCCTTAAATCGCAAATATCTGAGGGGCACTGCCACTGCACCCGTCACCGTGAGAATTAGTTAAAAAGTCCCATGTACCTGTACTTTCACCAGCATCCTTACCCTTCAAATCCGGAATGCAGTAATGCTTGCATTACCGTTTGGCGGCAAAAATAGTTAAGGTACTCTGCCATCAATGAAGTATCCCTGAAGGAACTCTTTCACAAGGAGCTCTATTGCTAAGTGAACATGCATTTATAAAATATTTGTAAATGTATACTCTCTCATAAACAAGTTGCATTTTTATACTTATTTCGTGAAATCCGTACGTACCAGTACGATGCTAGAAAATTTTCAAGATTTAATGACTACCAAGTAGCTGTGTGTTTATTCGATCATGCTTGATAAATTGGGCTTGCTTTAGGCTCAATTTATATTGCAGCAGAAAGGAATAGAAGCGAATTTTTGTAACGATATTGTACATAGCATAATGAACTTTATGCTCAATTGTTTAACGTACACATTATTACTAGATAGATACTAGCCAAAATCTTCCATGGAATTTACGAGCATTCTTTTCAATTAGAAATTGAGCCTTAAGCCCTAGAAAAAACTCAGTCGGTTTAGCTAATGGACCACTGTTTCTATACAGTTAGAGTAATAAATAAAAAATAATAGTGTAACGAAAATTAGTACACCTGTATTATAGGTTGAATACCGTACTGTTAATGATTATATAATAAAATCTTGGGAAATGTATTTTAGCTAATAAATGATTTTGCCTTTGACTTTGACCACATCGGATCCCTCACATCCCAATACTTTTAGCAGAACTAATTGACATTATGTAGCTACGGGTTTATTCGTAGTTTTGTAGATATTATTAATTACAGCATTTTATCATTTTTTGCATTGCATTACCGTGGCATTTCCCTATCATACCACAAATATTGTATCGCACACTGAAGAAGAATTGTCCTCAGATGATGATCCCTGTGTTATCGCTGATGCATCATCTGCGCCCGAAAGTGACGTTGTTAAGGAATGCAGGGCAGTAGACTCGGCTCAACAGGAGGTCCGGCCATCCACGCGCTCGAGAAGACCACCGAACAACTTGGACGAGTACGAGACATCTAGGGAGGGGCGAAGAATAAATACGGGTACATGTTGTTAGTCCAGTTGCATTATTTACAATAATATACTTACAACATAGTGACCGATAACCCTAGATGGGCTTTTTACAGTTTCACAGACGGCAAGTTAGAGAAAGTTGAAATCCCTATAGTCTAACATTGAACAACGTAGCAAACAAAAGCAATTACGCAACTGCGCAACCTAAAATGAAAATTTAATATTTCCATACGAGGAAAAAGCGGGTGCCCCGAACCGCGGCAAATGAACCACAGTACGTCATTTATGAACTAAATTTACGACAAGAGCTGGTCGTTAAAAAAGAAAGTATTCGCCGCAGTTATTGCAAAGTTACTCTCACTGAAGTTTCCCCAAAACATAAGGAAAAGATACTTCAAAAAACTTCTTCCTACTATAATTGCAGTAACTTTAAAAGTCTGCCATGGTGATATCCGAAAATATTCAAATATGCAATATTACCTGTGCTGAATTTTTATTAAAAAAATTTATTCATTCATAATTTTTACGTTATTACATTCGTGGAACGTCTGCCATTATGCCAGGGTTTTATTAATCGGGTCAGATTTTCATTCGTAGCTTCGCGGGGCGTCGCGACAAAATTGCTTTACAATATAATTACAGCGGCCTATTGTCCCGGAATCCGCTCGCTGTGCTTCGATTTACATTTAGAATGGGACAATTTGTACAAAATCCGTCCGACTACAGAAACTTAATTTGTTTCCAGTTCAATAATATTGTCCAAGTTTTATTGGGGAAAATCCCGTGGGGAAGTCCGTGCGATTTCTTTTAAATAATTTAGTATACTGTTCCTGAAAGGTGACTTATACTACGAACATTGATGAATTTATAATGATAAATTGCAAAGCAGTAGTAAAGTTAAGGCAGTAGCACAAAATCGTGACCGCCAGCATTTGTTAAATCCGTTTATGCAAATTGCGAATCTCCCGAGATTTCAAATTTCCATTTATACTGCTTTGGCTTAATTGTTTATTAAACGAAATAATTTTAACAAAAACAAGTCATTGGTTTCACTAAAGATCTTTATTTACTTTCTTATATTACAAATAATGTACAGGGTATTAATTACATAATATTGTTACAATCTTAGAACTATATTTTACAGTGTTCTGGAGAGACAGAGGCTTTGATTTAGTATTTGTCGAGTTTTCAGCTACATCTCTAAATATTTTAGAAATATATCTCCCTAAGTAAATGTTAAAAATAAATTACTTAACTGAAAACAAGATATGTACACTTCTCGTTCATAGGTTTATTTAGAACACTCAAGCCAATCTATTGCAATATTTTTTTCGACCAAAAGTATAACGTGTCCGAAATACAAAATAAAATATTATAATTTTTTTTTCGCTGCTACGCAATTTTTGACTGAAATGTACATTCCATAAACTGAACAGCAATTATAAACTCTCTTTTCAATACAATAAACAGTTCGCGAGGTATTATATAAACTATAGAAACAAATTGTATCCCCGTGCATAATTACTGTGCTAAATAAGCTGACAGAACTACATAATATTCACAAAAACATTTAAAACCAGTGGCACTAATTATGAATTAATTAAAACAAGTTCATACGTTGTACATCACGGTGAATGATTTGGTTTAAATAATTAATCGTTGCTTTAACTAATAATAAAATTGTTTAAGCTAACATATTTTGTATCATTCGTATTTACACGGCACATATTTTGTTAAATAACATAAAGCAAACCAAACTCATGACATACTTCAGTGCTTATTGATATTTACACAAACTTATATTAATAAAATAAGGTACTTTAAATCGTTACAGTTGTAGAACGTGAACGGCAAAAGCAACATGACTAAGAATTTTCTACGAATGTGAATACTTTGCAACTGCTTCCAAGATTTTATTTTATTTGGAAGAGCGTCAACTACGATTATAGTCCGAATCCAGCCGGATCGAATGAATTTTCACTTGAATTAAATCTTCGTATGAATAATTATAACAAACTATAGTCGTCACCAAATAAGATGGCAAATTTGACAGCTAAAGAAGGTGATAGTATGAAACTTTGAATGCGATCAACGAAACAATAAACAAACAATTATTAGCATAATTGAGTTAAAAAAAACATAAATGTTATTGAAACATTATATAATATGACAAAACAAATTTGAAGTACTGTTTTCGCACGAATTCCAAAATAAAGTGTAATTTTGAGTTACTCCGAAACGTCCTGAAAACAGTTACGTTCTCAAGCATTTTTTTTAAATAATAGTGTTGTAAGCAATTAATTGCCGAATTTCACCAAGTCACTTCGATTTCTCGGAAAAAATATTTAAAAAAAGATTACAAAAAATTATGAACATTATTCGAGATTGTTTGTTGATGACATTGACAAATTCTAACTTATCGCCAGCCGTATAATTGAAAATTTATGAAATCCTTTGTTTCTTGGTAATTTAATCTTTTTATATAGTTGTTTTATCGATGAACATAACTATTCACAGTAAATTCTCGTAAACTACTTATGAATATTATAAAATCAAAATTAAAAGAATTGGATACAATTCATCGGAATGTGGGACAATGTTACGAAAATAAGAGGAATTGCTACAGAATGCAAGGAATTCTGTAAATGAATTGCTTCTAACAGAATTGCACGATTTGGCCTTTTAGGCCACCTGAACAACAATGAACCGAAAAATATGTAAATAATCACAAACTTAAAATTTTGAATCGATTTCTCGTGAAAATCGTATAATGTGATTACCGATATGATTAGTCCACATCCCTATTCGCATCACGATGACAAGTGTCAAATTTGGCCCCTTATATGGTGACGACTGTAGTGGAGTCATTTCACAAAAATAATTGAATGTTATGGTAGTAAAACGTGATACTCAATAAACTTATTGTGGTAAACAACTTGTTAATGTTTAATATTCTTCAATTTTTAACCGACTTCAAAAAAGGGGGAGGTTCTCAATTCGACTGTATGTATTTTTTTTTGTGTATGTATGTTACGCAATAACTCCGAAATTTGAGAACAGATTTTGATGATTCTTTTTTGTTGTAAAGAAGGTACCACATTAGTGGTCCCATCAAATTTAAATTTGAAGAAAATATTTCACCTCTAAAGGTTGCAAACTAGGGGATGAATGACGTTTGATGTCGGTTTTTAGTACTCTGTACTGAGATTATAACGAAAAGACTCAGTCATGTGGCTTGCATAATTTGTCTCCTTTATATAATTTGAATCATTTCTTCTATACATTACACAATAATTAACAGTTCGAGCTTTGATAAAGACACTTTTCACTTCCAAGAATAACTGTACACTTTTAGCACTCGCTTAATTTTGTCGTTTCAGATCGTTGCGTTGAAATCACAAGCCTTCTCTCATATCCCACTTTATCACTCGCGCTTATTACACTATGTAAAGAACTGGGTTCGTTATAAATGTGCCAGTATGTCTATTTCGGAGGGCGGTTGCGTGTGCGTATCGTTGAGGGCTGGCGACCCTGACACTGTAACGATGACTGGTTGATTGTCTGTGTGTACTATAGTTACTAGATGTTCGTCTGGGTCTTTTTCCTGCTCTGTGGGTTTAGGTAGTGCTTCGATGGCATCGTCGGCGTATTTGAGGTCGAGAGGGTTAAGAGAGGGAAGGGTGTCGGTGACTGTAACCGCTGGCTCGGAACGGGGCGCTCGGTACGACGGCGGACCGCTATATTCAGAACCGCACCACGCCACACCGGTGGATCCTCTACTGGAAACAAAATACACATTTAAAATAAATAAATAAACTAAAAATCATTTATTGCCAGCAAATTAATCTTATTCTACAGTTAGTACAAATATTATAGATAAAAATAAAACAAAATGATGAAATAAATGAAGGGTAGTATCAGATACTACATGGTACTTGCTAAGATCACCGAGCTCCCAGAACGTGAAGTTCGGTGAACCTTGCCAGCAGATCGGAGTCCAACCTATCCCCTAACATCTTGAGAACTTTGTTTGAGCTCTCTCGCGCTCTGCGCAAACAGGATGCCACTTTTTTCGCATTAGTACATTTGCGTCTGCTTTTATTTATAGGAAAATAGATGTCTCTGTTTCTAATGAGGTTTATTTGCAATAAAACTATGTATGTTAGGGCCAAATTACATCGGCTTAACGCACCTGACTAGACTGGCTGAGTTCGACCTGTATGTAGGAGGCGGCGACACCGCTGGCACACTTCTGTCTAACAGAAGTAACCTGAAAACAAGCGTTAGGTTTTGTTCAAAATTGGACATCATAATGTTATTATTTCTTTGTTACCCTATATTATTTTTCGGTTCCCTTTTTGGAGCACCCGAAAGTTGTGTTATTTCGGCGAGAATAAGAAAGCGGAGACTTATTACAACCAATTCAATGATTCAAACATTTTTATAAGACAAAATATCGAGAAGCGGAAATATTATACGAAATTCTGAAAATATGTATTTTTACTTTTAAAATTAAAAGACCATATATTTGTCTTGCCGGATAGATTTAGTCGAGGAGTTGCATGATGTGAGGTACACTCGAAAGCACGGCAAGCTTGAGACGTTTAACTTTCAACAGCTCTTATTGTAAGCGGCATAGAGTTGAATTTAAATCTTAACTATTAAGCTTGACTGTACGTAACTGATTGCACTATAATATAAATTTAACAATTTGCAAGCAACAATATTTTCAAGGAGGACACGATATGCAGTCAGTCAGAATCTCTGCATGCGTATATGGTTGTAAAAGTCTCCATGTTATACTAACCTGAGTCTATACTCTTGCATAGATGCCTGGTATGTTGGCGGTGGCGGTCGATAGTGGAACTCTGGATAAAGCATGGCTGCATATGGATGATGTGGCCTGGCGTAGCTGGGGGGCAGTCTTGGCACGAGCCTTCTGCAGGAGGCGCGCCGTAGACCCAACAGTGCGCAAGGAGCATCGCGAGCGCCCAATCGCCACGCTAGTCCAGCTGCTGTAACCAGCACCACGCCTATACCTAGAAGAAAAAAGATACCAAACATCATGTGTATCGTACCTAAATTTCAATTGAATTTAAGTGCGTCTGAGAGGCGAACGTAGATTTAAAAATACCCAGAATACTACAAATAAGAATCAGCTGAATCCTCACTGCCCGAAATAGAAGGACATGCTATGAGATAAAAGAGACCTACACCGTTTATAACTTTTATGCTATCTATTACAAATGGGTAATTGCAAATAAAATGTGAATTACATCTTTAGAAGCACTGCTACATCCTGCTATTAAAATAATAACGCATTTTCGGAAAGAACAATAAATGTGGGCATGAAAATAAATTAATTACCAACCGCATATAAAAACCTGCATTTTGTGGCAATTGCACGAGGCCATGTGTTACACACTGCACCCTGCCCACGTGCTGTTTTAATTAAATTCTCATCTGCATTCAAACGCGCTGGCCACAAAAGAACGTGGTAATAAGCTGCTTCCAATTTTCAACAAAAACAAGCAACATCTGACGCAACTTCGGCAAATGCTGTTAATTGTTTACGAGCTCATGATCACGAACAATGTGTTCCGGTATAATGGACGATACGCCGGCGGGTGTAACGTGTGATACAACATACTTATTCGCGACACGCCGCCATATTTGGTGTTTCTACGGACCGACACATCGAGCGGCCTGAGTGACGCGGACAAATTGCTCACCCGACACAACAATAGATCGTTCGCCTGTAACAACGCCATCATTTGTCCCTAACGCTAATGAAAATCCAATTAATTCTGCTCCAAAACTCATTTGAAGTTTAATTGAAAACTTCGCCCGATGAAGGGCGGACGAGACTTTGTGAATGAAATAATGAGATTCTACCCGGACTTGTTATTGTCATATGCATAGCGAATACCCAATGAGCTCCCGAGATTGTTTCACGGTTAATTACGGCCATTTGTTACTAGGACGTGTAAAGCCATTCCCTCGATTTATGAATATTAGAACCCACATTAAATTTTATGAACGACTGTAGGCAAATGCTATACCTACTTTCCATTTTTCTAATCCGTTCATTGGACCGGATAACTTTAATCAGCTATGAATAAAAAACACGGTTGAGCATGAAATGAGTTGCGAACTGTTAAATGATCAAAGTCTTTATACTTTGAAGGGTTTTTTTATTGAAACGGCCAGTTTTTCAACAAAAACCAAAACGAAAGAAACTTTTTACGAATATTTAAAAAGTTATTTGGATTATATTATCGCAACTAAATTTATGAAGATATCTATTTGTCTATCATTAAAATTAGTTTGTAATTTAGTAATAACCTTGGATTGGATTCTAATTCAATATTCGAATACACATCTTTTATAGATAAGCAAATTTCACATGAAATCGTAACATTGATTAAACTCTACTACTAATTCGCAAGGCAGATTCTCCCAGGAAGAAAGAATAAGAAACTCCTGAGTTTGCTCTTTTTAAATAGACATTGGTAAATACACATTTATTATTTATTACAAATATCGTAGATCGAGATAACCTGAAAGAGTTAAACATCCAAGTCACGACCAAGGAATTCATTCAAGTGCGCAGAAACTATGAATATTTTGTTTCACTGTAGTTTTAAACCTAAAACCTAGTATTCTTAATATAGCAATAAGAGCAAGCATACCTAAGTGTACTAGAAACTTTGGGCTAGAAACTTGTAACTTAAAGATTACTATACTAGTAGCCAATAATGATACATACTACTTAAAAGTACTTCACTTTTCGCACACCAAGCCTACTAATTGAACTAATATAACAATCGGCTTAATTAATAAAGCACGTATCACCATTAATGTGAATTTTTGAGTAAGCACAAAGAACAGATTTACTAGAGATAATTTTATATGACAATGTAAGATTATTTATTTATTTTAATCATATTTACTTTATAACTAAAATCAAGGCATAATCATATACCTTTGTTATAGAAATTATATTTTAAGTTTTAGTTGCCCGATATTGCGCTCGAAGAGTATAAAAGGGATCAAGGCGTCCAAAAGCGGAGTTACCAGGTTTTGAAAATATGTACACGACGATATGTCATAAAAATTAGTGGTATTCACCTATCATAAGAAGTAGTAAAGTGAGCGGCGCTCTAGGATGTGGCCTTAGGGCTCCAAGTACTGCACCAGCGGCTACCAAACAGGCCCCCACCACTCCCAGGAACAATACACAAAGCCTTAGGGGGGGTCGTCCACAGCAGGATTTTGGTGCGTTGCCCTCTCCTTCTGAACATGCATAGGCTGCTCCTCTGCCTGATCTGTAATGAAAAAATATTCGTGTTAGTTATGGTATGACTTTATAAACAAGTATTGGGCTCTCAAAAAATGTTGTCTTTATTTGGGGTGTTTGAACTTCAATCGAAAAATCTTATTTTTATTATTATTTTATTATAACATCAAGTGACGGGACCATGGAAGAAAAAAAAATAATGGAAGTTCCACGAGCCTCGATTACTATCAGAACCGATGTCGCCAAAACTCACACATTCTTAATTTGAAACTAGTGTTTCAAATTAAAATCGAATCGAATCGAAATCTAGATAATGATTGGTCGTAGCTTCAAATTTAAAAAGAAATAACAAATTCTGGATTTTTAGCATAATTTAAGTTGTACCCTGTTGGCATATCGTTGAAAGTTCAATACCATCAATACCTATTATTGCTAATTACGGCGTTTGGATATTAAATTGAAATTTCAATCAATGTCCTGCCATCTAGCGGTTAATTGTTGACCCACGACGAATTGGTTTATTAATATAGTTCTCCAAAAAAGAAGCAACCATATTGCATGAGTATAAGCTTTACTTTCGCTTCTTGTAACAAAAACATGATTTTGATAAACAGAAAATTCAAAATTTATTAAAATAAGACTTGTCGGTGATATGAAATACCATCACGGGCAATATTTTTGGTGTGGCTATCATTTTTGCACTCTAAAACAGCACAATAATTCATTTTTATCGAGTTCTTAGGTTTTCGCTATTGTTACACATAGGAAATGAAACTATTTTTCCGGATTTAAATCGCGTATATTTGTTTTTTCATACAAACCGACGTTTCGGGCCCTTTACAGGTCCCATCCT